TACATTTGTTTTATTTTTCTAAATTACATACATTTTTATTAGTAAATCACAGAAAATGTCTCAGAACAACCCTGCCACACTCTGAAGCCCCTCTTTCTACATTTGAAATGTTGGAAGGTATGAATTAACCAACTTACCTTGCTGAAGTGCTTCATAGTGAAGAAACCGTCCACATTTTTGTTTTATAAAAGTGTGGATTTCAATATAAATCACCACTTTCATTAAAGAACTCCATCACACCTCCGTGGCTGTCAATCAGACAGCCAGTTTTGTCACTTCCTGGTTGTTTAGCTCAGTGTAGATAAAGTCAAGTGGCCGACATTTTCCCAGAGCACATGCCTTGCAAAGATTTCTGGATTTGCTATAATACAATTCATTGAAATGTCTGTCATTGGATATCCACAAAACGTTTTTACTCTATATGACACCAGTAAAACGGTACCATATGAAGATAAGCCCAACAGATACATGCTGGCGCCTCTGTGGGGATAGGGAAAGCTACATTCACATGTGGTGGCTGTGCCATAAAGTAAGCGACTTCTGGAAGACAGTAACTGACTTAAGGTCGATGAAACATGATCCATGGGCCTGCGTGTTCTCTAAACCCACAGATGGTCTAACCAGACATTAACAAAAGTTATTAAACATGATATATTTGGCAGCAAGGCTGGTGTTGTCACATGGACAAACACCACACTACCTCCCATATCCTTAGTGAAAACTAAACTCAGGGATAACAATTTCATGGACAAACTAACAGCTAACGTCCAAAACACAGAGGCCACCTTCAACAAATTATGGGACCTATGGAAACAACATAAGAACTAACATGCACAATATATGGAGAGACTGTAGATCCCTCCGCACCAAGCCCCATCTCTGTACGCTCACAGCAGCAAATAGACCTGCTGGACTAATACCACGGAACAAGTTGTTAAGTATTAACCTACATTCCAACATAAAAATGACAAATATTGGCACATGGACTAATTTCGGAGCTCGGGCCAGCCAAGAAATCCCCACAGACACACCCGCACAAAGTATTTTTCCTGGCACTATAGAATCCTTTAGTGCCCCCTTTAGTGCTTTCCTATGGGGAAAAATCTGATACTGGAGGTCCTCATGCAGAGAGTGAGGACGCGCAGCATCAGATAACGGACCAAAGGTCCGTTTCAAACCAGGAAGCCCTCTAATGGCTGTCTGGTAGACAACCACAAGAGGTGGAGTTAACCCTGGATAGTAATTATTGCAGTTTCTCAATAACTGCAATAATTACCACTGTAGGGTTAAGGGACAAGTGACATTGCACCCTGACCACTTCAATGAGCTAAAATGGTCTGGGTGCCTACAGTATCCATTTAAGTGCAATTTTCACTCTGTAACTTTGTCTTGAAAAATTACTGAATGTTTACTATTTTTTTTAATGAATTTTCATCAATAAAAGCATCGATTTGAATTGTAAATCCTACAAGTGTGTTCATCTTGGAGATAATATAATATGTTAATTAATAGTGTTTTAAGTTTGTTTTAAACTTTATTTCAGGTTTTGGGGACTGACTGACAACTCCCTGCTGGCAGTGCATTGAACAAGTGTCTACTTGCTTGTTCTTGTTTACGAGGGACAGGCCAAGTGATTTAGTGGAAAATCTCTGGGAAACTGGGAATACATTCAGGGAACAGAGACAGAGTAGGTAGAAATTTAGGAAACCAAGATGGACTGGTGAGACTGGGAAGACAAATATGGGAAGGTGATGGACTGGAGAGACACACGGACATACATAACCACACTGCTGAATACATACATTCATACACACGCACTGCCCAATAAATGCATCCATACATAAATGCTGCCTAATACACACATCCATACTTCCTAATGCACACATTTTACACTGAATGCATTATTTATCGCTGTGATAAAAGATGTATTCAATGCATTTGGTGGGTTTTTATTTATAATAATTTAGAAATTTAATTTAAGTTACCCACCCTTTAGTTTTTCTTTTCCTTTGGAGTGATTATATAGATCTGAAATTGTGAGAAAGAGGGTGGTTGGGGTGCGATTCTAACTAAAGGGGGTATCGGATGATTAAAAATCTTGAAGTTCAGTGCAATTGCCTCAGTCTCCCCAAACACCAGTTGACAGGCATTTCTGTTCAACAGGAGGACTGAGTGAAAATTGTCCGGGTTATTTACTAAAGTATGAAAAAAAGTAAATTTAAAATCTAAAGGGATACTAGAGTAACCAAAACAGCGCTCGCTTATTTAGTGTACAGATCATGCCTCTGAAGTCTCATTGCTCACTTATTTTTCAACTAGGAGTTAAACCACTTTTGGTTCTGTCCATGTTGCATGTGAGACACAGTAGGCATTAATACAATGGTTTCACTTTCAATTAATTTGCTTTAGAAGTTATTATCTCCTGCTCAATAAATTGGACTTTAATCACACACAGAAGGCTCTTGCAGAAACATAGAAACATAGAAACATAGAATGTGACGGCAGATAAGAACCATTCGGCCCATCTAGTCTGCCCAATTTTCTAAATACTTTCATTAGTCCCTAGTCTTATCTTATAGTTAGGATAGCCTTATGCCTATCCCACGCATGCTTAAACTCCTTTACTGTGTTAACCTCTACCACTTCAGCTGGAAGGCTATTCCATGCATCCACTACCCTCTCAGTAAAGTAATACTTCCTGATATTATTTTTAAACCTTTGTCCCTCTAATTTAAGACTATGTCCTCTTGTTGTGGTAGTTTTTCTTCTTTTAAATATAGTCTCCTCCTTTACTGTGTTGATTCCCTTTATATATTTAAATGTTTCTATCATATCCCCCCTGTCTCGTCTTTCCTCCAAGCTATACATGTTAAGATCCTTTAACCTTTCCTGGTAAGTTTTATCCCGCAATCCATGAACCAGTTTAGTAGCCCTTCTCTGAACCCTCTCTAAGGTATCAATATCCTTCTGAAGATACGGTCTCCAGTACTGTGTACAATACTCCAAGTGAGGTCTCACCAGTGTTCTGTACAATGGCATGAGCACTTCCCTCTTTCTACTGCTAATACCTCTCCCTATACAACCAAGCATTCTGCTAGCATTTCCTGCTGCTCTATTACATTGTCTGCCTACCTTTAAGTCATCAGAAATAATCACCCCTAAATCCCTTTCCTCATATGTTGAGGTTAGGACTCTATCAAATATTCTGTACTCTGCCCTTGGGTTTTTACGTCCAAGATGCATTATCTTGCACTTATCCACATTAAATGTCAGTTGCCACAATTCTGACCATTTTTCTAGTTTACCTAAATCATTTGTCATTTGGCTTATCCCTCCTGGAACATCAACCCTGTTACATATCTTAGTATCATCAGCAAAAAGACATACCTTACCATCAAGACCTTCTGCAATATCACTAATAAAAATATTAAAGAGAATGGGTCCAAGTACAGATCCCTGAGGTACCCCACTGGTGACAAGTCCAAGCTTCGAATATATTCCATTAACTACAACCCTCTGTTGCCTGTCACTCAGCCATTGCCTTACCCATTCAACAATATTTGGAATCCAAACTTAAAGATTGCAGTTTATTGATAAGCCTTCTATGTGCAACAGTGTCAAAAGCCTTACTGAAATCTAGGTAAGCAATGTCTACTGCACCACCCTGATCTATAATTTTAGTTACCCAATCAAAAAAATCAATAAGATTTGTTTGGCATGATCTCCCTGAAGTAAACCCATGTTGTCTCTGATCTTGAAATCCATGTGTTTTTAGATGTTCATCAATCCTATCCTTTAACATGGTTTCCATCACTTTCCCCACTACTGAAGTAAGGCTTACTGGCCTATAGTTGCCCGACTCCTCCCTATTACCTTTCTTGTAAATGGGCACAACATTCGCTAACTTCCAATCTTCTGGGACTACTCCTGTTAACAATGATTGGTTAAATAAATGCAGGGTCCTGAAGGCTACTGACAGAGCAGGAGATATGAAATTCTAAATTAAAAGGAACACTATAGTGACAGGAATACCAAATATTCCTATTCCTTATGAAAACTATTCCTATTCCTTATGAAAACACTATTTAGGCCTCCAGTCTCCCTGTAAGCAATTTAAAATGTGAATTTACTCACCTTTATTCCAGCATTGTGCAGCACTGATCTACAAAACACCTCTAGTGGGTGTCTGAGTGACTGCCACTAGAGGTGTTACTAGGCAGTAATGCAAACAATGCCTTTTCTCTGAAGCATTATATCAAACTAGATATCCTGAGCAGTACCAATGTATACATAGGCCACATAAACCAAAACAAATGTAAATAGCTAGACAAAAAAACAAAACAAATCACAGAAAAAATATGCGACTATCAGTGGTAATATGTTACATGAGTAAAATAAGTTAAAATACATCCAAAAACCAGTGAACAAAAAAAGAGATTATTTTTTGTTTGCGAGAGAGGATACCACATCTGTATTCAATTAAGATCATTACTTTTTTTATTGATTGTATTCCTCATCTCTTCATTATTTGGACACCAAAAAACAAACAAACCTGGGAGAGTACTTCAGATCCCAGACTGCCCTACCTGCTCTGGGACCTGAGAGGGGTTAGGGGGTACATTTTAAACCAAAATATAGGAACTAGAATTTGTAAAGTCATGTTGTAGTTATTCACAAAACTACACAATTTAGGCTAAAATAAGGTCTCTGGAAAAATTCTCCAAATCAGCTTTGGTCACAGCTTCATTATTTTAGGTTTTGTTTTTTTTTTAATTTTGATTCCAATTCAGCAAAATGTGAATAAGCACTATCAATGTTTTCAGCTGTTATGGTCTTAAGTCAGAATTCCTAACAATTGACACTTACCCTGATATTATAAATAATAAAATGTACATGTTGGGGTTTTTCCTTTATTTTTCACGTTGAAACTCCAGCCCCCCTATAGACACTGAGTGCCACATACACACAACCACAAACTCGCTGCTAAACACACAGCTTACCACTAGGTGTCGCCGGTTTTCAGTCTAGCCGCTCTGTTCAGTACTACCATAGAGCTCACACGCAGTGAGTCCTCCAGAGCTACCGATGTCGCTGTCAAAGTGACGTAGCAGTGCGCGCCGGAAGTGAACCTTCTGGGACCGAGAACACCATAGAGACGGGAGGAGCCGCCCGGAGTGACCCGAAAGCATAGAGACCCCTGGCGTGGCCCGGCATCCGAGAGAGACCCCTGGAAGTAAATAGCAAGGGGAGTGATCCCTCAACTGGCACACACCCCTCGATCTCCCGGAAGTGACCCCAGGGACAGCTGAGAGGACAGGCACCCCCAGAGTGACCCGTGTGCCCACACAGCCCCACAGAGAGCTAACCCGGGCAGAACAGCCAGTGTGCCCCCAGAGAGCCCGGCAGAGGGCGGGACCCTGTGTCTGGAGCTCTGTAGGTCAGTGCCGACAGCCAATGCTTGGTTTCCGCATTTATCGCTTTATATTCACTTACTGACAGCCAGAGTCCCATGTACTAACAGCCACACCGCTGGCCGACAGCTTCTTCCACGTATTGCCATTATTATCATCATTACCTTTACTGATACCATTCTGTGAATATGTATATATCTATATCATTAACATATAACAAATATCTATGTTTATGGCACCCCAGTCACCCCCTGTATATATCTATATACACACTGTTTATGGCACCCCACTCACCCCCTGTATATATCCATATACACACTGTTTATGGCACCCCATTCCCCCCCTGTATATATCCATATACACACTGTTTATGGCACCCCATTCCCCCCCTGTATATATCTATATACACACTGTTTATGGCACCCCACTCACCCCCTGTATATATCTATATACACACTGCTTATGGCACCCCACTCACCCCCTGTATATATCTACATACACACTGCTTATGGCACCCCACTCACCCCCTGTATATATCTACATACACACTGTTTATGGCACCCCACTCACCCCCTGTATATATCTACATACACACTGTTTATGGCACCCCACTCACCCCCTGTATATATCTATATACACACTGTTTATGGCACCCCACTCACCCCCTGTAAATATCTATATACACACTGTTTATGGCACCCCACTCACCCCCTGTATATATCTATATACACACTATTTATGACACCCTACTCACCCTCTCCTCTTCTCTAACAACATCAGTTGTTTTAAGTGTTAAACTCTTAAATTGATCAGCATTGCTTCACACCTTAGGGACTATTGAAAGCTTGTCTTTTAAATATTATGTTAGTCCAACAAAAAAGGTATTGTTGGATACTGAAATACTCTGGTATTTTGGCATCTCATATATATATATATATATATATATATCTCCACAAAGAAAGGCACATGCTGGGCTTTTTGAAGAAAATGATTAGTCTTTATTCATAACACACGTGTTTCAGTCCATCATAGGACTTACATCCTGATGAAAGTCCTATGATGGACTGAAATGTCAATTGGCTGTAACCCGTGTGTTATGAATAAAGACGAATAATTTTCTTCAAAAAGCCCAGCATGTGCTTTTCTTCGTGTAGATTTATGTTGGTTTAGCTGAAAGAGCACCATGGCACTTTTACTACAAATGTGAGTGAAGAATCGTGAATATATTCTTTTACATCTTTTTACACGCATATTGTGTGTGTAACTTTTACGAGCATATGCATATTTGATCAATCTATGTAATGGCTCATTAATAAATGCTGTCAATGTATGCTGTAACTTTTTACTAGTGGAACACATTTTGTACCACTGTGCTATAAGAATAGAGGGACTATACATGGATATTGCCGAGCACACACATACGCAGGAGGATTTTGTTTTCTTTGCAAATGATGCTGTTTGCCTGGCCTCTGCATCATTTACAATCAGTTGAACTCAACTTGTGCCCTATCTAGTTTGTTTCATCTCTAATTAGCAGGCTCAAAGCACCATAACCACTCTAGCCCACTTCTTGACTACTTGGTACTCTCCCAGTTTAGGACCTCTATAGTGTTAGGAATACAAAGTTGTTTTGATAAACAATAAAGTGTTTCCCTGGACCCTCCACCCCTTGCCATGAAAGGGTTGCCTAACCCTTTCTTTTTTCTCTCATGTTTAAAGTGCCGATGTGCCTTAGTGCTAGCTTAGGGACACTGCGTCCAGACCACTTCATTGAGATAAAGTGGTCTGGGTGCCTCTAGTGTCCCTTTAAGTCAGATAGGAGAGAAGAAAAAAGATTTAAATCTGCGGTTTTGCCATGTCGTCAGTCTGTCTCTGAACCAGACAGTGCACTGTTGCCTTCTGTTTATTATAAGCCGCACATTCATTACTTTTATAATAACCACAGTGTCATAGCAGCATGTTAATTAGAGAGAGCTACAGAGTAATCTGAAGACAATCTAGCTAGGATGGACAAACCTATTAGGAACCACAGGCATCTCTATGTTCCCCAACCTATCTGTGTTATTTTACATCTCTGAGCTGTAGAATATTATATTATTTTTGATCTTCTTTTGGCACATAAACTGTGAGCAAGTAAGAACTATTAAATCTAAACCAGGATTGAACAAAAAGTAGTTTCCCAGTTTAAATAACATTCATAATGCTGGAACAGCTTTAATGCTGACAGAGCATTATGTGAGTTGTAGTTCTACAGCAGCAATAGCTACACTTTGGACACCTCTGATTATACTAACGTTTATTTTTCCGAGTTGATTTTCCTGGGATTCAAATTGAATTTCAAATGTTAGACTTCAATACCTGAACTGAAATCATTTCTACTGTGGAGAATGTTTGGAAATTTGTCTTTGAGTAGACAAATATATATATTTTTTATAAAGCACCAACATATTTAGAGAAGTAAATGACAAACAAGCGCATACACTTGCACAAAAGAAGAATGAGGAAAATATATATATATCTAAAGGTTGGGTTAACTGTCTGTGTAGATACAAAATGTGTTCAGGATTAAGATTTAGAGTAAAAAGGGGTGGCTCATACACCCTCCCAGATCAAATTTTTCCTTTGGAAGCAGATAAGAGTGACTATACAGTTTTTAAATTTTACATAATTAAAAAGGTTAATTCGGTATCGCAGTAACAGTTTTAGCTATGGTATGGGAGAATTATCAGACAGTTAAATCTATGAGCATTTCATCATGTTTGTGAGATTCAAAGGAACCGTCCAGGTTTTCTGTAGTGGTTATGGTGCTAGGCATGCCGTGGTAACCTCCTATCAAAAGGAATGAAACTGTTTTTGAATGGTTTGATTTATTACCTGGGGTCTGATAAGTGCTGCTCCCCGCCTAAACTACCATCTCCAAAAAAGCCAGAAAATCCTCAACAATAAATATTAGCTCATTGGCTGAGAACATAAACTCATGCAGAGCCTAGCTTGGAAGAGCTAACGTCACGTCCGGCTCTCAGGAGATGGCAGTGGAGGCAAGGAGTGGATCCTGGCAGACACCAGGTAAGAAGTTAAACCATTCAAAAATGGGTACGAGTGGGGGAAGGCAACACAACCTTGGCACCATAATCACTACTGTGAGCTGGAGTGTTCATTTTAAGTGCTCGCATTAAAAAAACAAGGGAAAGAAGTGAGACCTTCTGGCAACTACGGCCTCTTCACTGATATCACTAGACTGCCCCTCTACTTCAGCAATCAACTTTGGATGAAATCTACAGACTGTGGAGTATCAGCAAACCCTCCCAGCAAATGCATTCCACCCAAAGAGAGATGGAAGTGCATTTGCTATTGCAGATGTAGGAAGATCTGATTTAGTGATATCTGTGAAGAGGAACTTGTGGACTAGAGGATCCTGGTAGACTTCTAGCACCTTTACCACTACGGTGTGCTGTAGTGTTTATGGTGCTTAGATTGCTATTTTACGCCCTGAAGTCAGGGTATTAATGAGACACTTTGCTCTTTCTTGAGGCACACCAGTATACTCTAGTTGAAAACCACTATTATGGACTACAGCTATTGTGATATAGTGATATACACTGTATGCATTACTTTCTGGTTTTGGTCATTTCTTTGGCACAAAGTAGAGATTAGATTGGTATAAGTTGATATATGTAAGTTGATTGTAGTGTTAGTAGCAGTGACTGCTTCCCCTTTTATTTTGTTTGCTATTCTTCATAGTTTTACAGTTGTTTATGGAATGTTAACTCTTAGATCTTTTCCAGATAGCAACTGCCCTATAAACAATGTCTTTATAAAACAGTATGTCTTGTGTTTTAAAACAGCTTTTTTTTTTGTATAGGAGTCTATGGGGAAATACGATACTCCCCAGTGACAATCCCACTCATCTAACAGAATTAGTGGAACTTTTCAGTAACATCATTAAAGCCATGCCGTGGTTACTGTTTGTTTTTGTCAGCCTGGTTCACAGTCTTGTGTAACAGGCTTTGTGTAGTGATCTCCTGTCCTTGGCTCAGGCTCTCAAAAAAGTTGAAGGGAGGTGTTGGGGAAAAGAGAAGATCGAAAAGAAGGAAGTAAAATTTTGATGTTTAAGAACTAGGGCGCTGCCAGTTATAAACCACTCTGAGAGGGGAGGCAGATTGCAGGGTACTCCATGTACCGTAATATTTACAGTGATGGGACTTGCAGGCCTATAATTCTTAGCATCCCTTTAATCATTTCTAATTTTGTCTTTAATAAGATTTTATTGTGATGAAAAAAGCAAATAAGAGCGCAATGAGCACATAAAACAGATCACAGTAGAAGTTTGTACATAAATCTTGTAAAGATCTAACAATGTAGCACTAAATCAGTGGCCATTCAAGAGAGCTACATATTCAAACATTAGGTCATTCTGATTTTGCCATCTAGGAAAAAGCTCATCATTACACAATAATAATTTGGAAAATAACAGAAAATGGACACAATACAAAAAAACCCCCACACAAACCATATCTAGTCAGAAATGGGAAATGTTTTCAATAAGGATAAAAACAATACTATGATATATATTTTTACGGAAACGTATTAAAGTACTATTTTGATTTATGGTATCATTGTCACTTTACTGTATGGCAATTCTCAGACAAATGCCACTTTTTCCATTTGAATGTGGTTTCTATATCCTTTCTAACATGCCTTCGTTTGATGGCTGCTCACATGGGTGAAATCCAAACACTGTAGACATTTCAATGCAAGTATATTCATGCTCACTTCTAATGCTTGGAATGATGCATGCCTCTGGTCTTACTTTCATTTTACAGCTTGGCCAGTCACTGAGTTGGTGACACCAATGGGTTAAGGGGACACTGACACTAGACCCAGACTACTTCAATGAGATGAAGTGGTCTGGATGCCTATAGTGTCCATTTAAAATTTGTGGTCAGTGAAGCAAATCATAATAGGTACATTCAATGTACTCTGGCCATACTAGAATAGATTAGACATGGGAACTTTCTTTATTGCTCTGCACCAGCTGTAAAATTGTCTGCTATGGGTTCTCTAGAATCCACAGCCAGACCTTGCTAATGGTTTGACAAAATTAGATGGACTGCATCCCACAGTAAGCAGTGGTTTTTATGGTGATTAATGTCCTTCTAATAAAATATAAATCACTGAGCATAGAATTATTTTCCAAGTTGAATATCTCATTATTGTCCCTTACAATTAACCTTTCTTATATTGTTCTGAACAATAAGATTCGTCTGTAGAGAACATAAAGGTTTTAGGCTAACTTGCTTCTTTTATTTAAAAAAAATAAAATAAAATAATAAAAAAAAAAATACGGGCACATTTCGTTTAAAGGACCACTAAAGGCAGCCAGACCACTTAATTTCAATGACATGTTCTGTGTCCTTTGGTTATAACCTGCAATGTAAAACCTTGCAGTTTTGTAGAAACTGCAATGTTTAATTGCATAGTTAAACACATCTCTGATTGCGGTCTTCCTGACACCTACTAAAGATGCTTCCCTGTGAGAACTGAGTCAGATTTGGTTCTCAATCAAATGCTGCTCCTAGAGAGAATTTTATTTATGCAGCATGGTGATTTGTTGCGCATGTGCACTAGCATTAAAATACTTCTACATGGGGAAGCTTTGATTTTCTGAAATCATCAATCTTGATGATCTCAGCTGGATATGCACGGTGGCAGCTTGGGAACCGGAGCAGTGATGGATTAAAGATTCGTAAAAAGACCCAAACAGTTAGGAGGATACTATAGCATTAGCAATACATGCTTGTATTCCTAATGCTATGGTATTCCTTTAAAGTGCACCTGTGATGCCCATATTACTTTTGCTCTTTTTAAAGAGCACAACATTTCATCTGTACATTGTGCTAGCAAATGTATAGATTGACAAAAACCTTTTAAAAATATAAATATATTTTTCCTCCCACCTGTCAAGTCAGGGCAAAAAAAAAACTCGGAAGCAAAGTGATTAATGCCGGTGCAAAGAGTGCTACTGGGCTTTGTACTTATAAAACGTTATTCCTCCATTAAATGCCTAGGTAGCACTCTTTGCACTATTAACCACTTTGAGCCTAAGGTTTTTCTTTTGCACTCATTGTAACACATTAACACTGTCTAAGGCAAAGAGTGTGTTAACTCTTTTGGTAGCAGTGGACTAATAATTTTATTTTAGGTACTGTAGTGAACCTACTCACAGCATGTGCTGTGGTTGCTATGGTAACTCCCTATCCAACCACTGGCTAGGGAGTAAAGGAACAGAGTGACTGAAGTCACTCCTTTCTGACGCTATCATGCTGGCAATGAAGTGTAGACTGTGGGAGCTGTGAAGATGGACCAAAGTTGGGTGTTACAAAAGTGTAACACCCACCTCTGTAATGAGATAGTGGTGGCAAGCTCCCTTTAAAGAACCACTAAAGTCAAAAGAAAAACTGCAGCTTAATGTAGTGGTTCTGCTGATTACATAGAAATATGTATTTCAGCTGTCTTAAGTAAAGACAAATAAGTCTATGGGGCCTGATGGAATACACCCAAAGTTATTAAAAGAACTTGGTTGTGTACTAGCAAAACCATTAACAGATTTATTTAAAGGACCACTCTAGACACCCAGACCACTTCAGCTTAATGAAGTGGTCTGGGTGCCAGGTCCAGCTAGGGTTAACCCATTTTTTCATAAACATAGCAGTTTCAGAGAAACTGCTATGTTTATGAATGGGTTAAGCCTTCCCCTATTTCCTCTAGTGGCTGTCTCATTGACAGCCGCTAGAGGCGCTTGCGTGCTTCTCACTGTGATTTTCACAGTGAGAGCACGCCAGCGTCCATAGGAAAGCATTATGAATGCTTTCCTATGTGACTGGCTGAATGCGCGTGCGCATTCAGCCGACGGGGAGGAGGAGAGCTCCCCGCCCAACGCTGGAAAAAGGTAAGTTTAAACCCCTTCCAGAGCCGGGCAGGAGGGGGACCCTGAGGGTGGGGGCACCCTCAGGGCACTATAGTGCCAGGAAAACGAATGTTTGCCTGGCACTATAGTGGTCCTTTAATCAATCATTGCTAACAGGAGTAGTCCCCGAAGATTGGAAATTACACAATATTGTACCCATTCAAAAGAAAGGTAGTACGGAGGAGTCAGGTAACTATAGGCCAATAAGTCTTACTTCAGTAACGGGGAAAGTAATGGAAGCCATATTAAAGGATAGAATTGTTGAACATTTAAATGACATGGATTTCAAAATCAGAGACAACATGAGTTTACTTCAGGGAGATAATGCCAAACTAATCTTATTGATTTTCTTTTTTTTTTTTAATTGTAACTAATAGATCAGTGTGGTGCAGTAGACATTGCTTACCTAGATTTCTGTAAGGCTTATCACTAAACTGCAATCTTTGAGTTTGGGTTCCAATATTGTTGAATCGGTTAGGCAGTGGCTGAGCGACAGGCAACGGAGTGTTGTAGTCAATGGAGTATATTCGAAGCAAGGTCTTATTACCAATGTGGTACCTCAGGGATCTGTACTTGGACACATTCTCTTCAATATTTTTATTAGTGATATTGCAGAAGGTCTTGATGGTAAAGTATATATTTTTTGCTGTTAATACTACGATATGTAACAGGGTTGATTTTCCAGGTAGGAATTGCTAAATGGCAACTGATTTAGGTAAACTAGATGTGGATAAGTGCAAGATAGTGCATCTTGGGTATAAAAACCCATGGGCAGAGTATAAAATAATTGATACCTTCCTAACCTCAACATCTGAGGAAAGGGATTTAGGGGTAATTATTTCAGATGACTTAAAGGTAGGTAGACAATGTAATAGAGCAGCAGGAAATGCTAGCATAATGCTTGGTTATATAGGGAGAGGTATTAGCAGTAGAAAGAGGGAAGTGCTCATGCCATTGTACAGAACACTGGTGAGACCTCACTTGGAGTATTGTACACAGTATTGGAGACCGTATCTCCAGAAGGATATTGATATTTTAGAGAGAGTTCATTGATGGGTTACTAAACTGGTTCATGGATTGCAGGATACAACTTACAAGGAAAGGTTAAAGGATCTTAACATGTATAGCTTGGAGGAAAGACGAGACAGGGGGGATGTGATAGAAACATTTAAATACATAAAGGGAATCAACACTGTAAACGAGGAGACTATATTTAAAAGAAGAAAAACTACCACAACACGAGGACATAGTCCTAAATTAGAGGGGCAAAGGTTTAAAAAATATCAGAAAGTATTACTTTACTGAGAGGGTATGCATGGAATAGCCTTCTAGCTTTAGTGGTAGAGGTTAACACAGTGAATGAGTTTAAGCATGTGTGGAATAGGCATAATGCTATCCTTGCTATACGATAAGGCCAGGGACTAATGAAAGTATTTAGAAAATTGGACAGACTAGATGGGCCGAATGGTTCTGATCTGCTGTCACATTCTATGTATTCTATAGCGGCATGTGCTCCAGGCTTTTTAATGTAAACACTGCCTTTTCAGTAAAAAATCAGTGTTTACATTACTGCCTAGGAACACCTCTAGTGGCTGTCACTCAGACGGCCACTAGAGGTCCTTTCTAGTCCAGTGATGCACAGTCCGCAACATTGATGTTCAGAGTCTCCACGCTCTGCATGGAGGCGCTGGACATTCACCATAGAGATGCATTGATTCAGTGCATTTCTATGAGGAGATGCTGATTGGCACAGTGTTTTGTCATGCATGCACAATAACCTCCTAATGCTTTCCTATAGGAAAGCATTGGATTGGCATCATTATCAAGATTGAGCTAGGCAAGGCCAGCCGCTGCGAGACCGGTACAGCATGGGAAAAAAGGCGAGTAAAATCCCAAGGGAGGCAAGGGAGCCCTGGGACTTAAACAGTTATTTTTACCACCCTTTTTCCCTTTTAAGGGTCAGTTCATCTCAAGTGTTCCAATGATTGTAAAGTTGGTTGCTTGACCATTTTTCATTTTTATTTATTATTATTTGGAGCATTTAACTATGTATTGGTGCTGCCACGTTTTATTTTTTAAAATTGGATTTAAGCTTGGCTGCTATCTGTGTTTCATTGAGCACAACAAATTGTGGTTATACAGAGGTTTATGGAAAATGCAATGTCATAGCTCAGAATAGTCTTAGCTCCTTGGACAAAAAAAAACAACTGATCTCTAGATGTACATATATAAACACTTTACAGGTATAATGATGTTTTATTGAATTTACATGTATTCACTATTTTCAATGATTGCAAACTGTGTGGGTCCCAAGGCAACAAAAAAGTTCCACAACCTTGTTTTGTAGTGGTGGAAACGAAGCCATTAATAGAGTAATTCACTAAAGTGTGAATTTTCAAGAATAGAATTTAAGGTTTTAGGCAAAATTGGAAAAAATGCAATTTTGTTGCTTGTGTCTAAAATGTGAAGTTCGCTTTGAATTCCTAATAATTCACACTTTAGTCAATAACCCCGTAGTTTGAAAAGTTTTTAGTTTGCTCCAAATATTTCTCATGTATGCTTGAAAATTACAATATTATCTCATCTTTTACCAATATGTTCACCTAGACATCTGGAGCATCCATTTGGCATTTAGCAAACCTGAGACAGATGTCCATGTCTTTTTGAGGGAAACATTCCTTAGTAGGTGTGTTTTTTTTTTTTTTTTTTTAACTCTTTCTAACCCCATTTGCATCAACTACTGTTTTTAAAGTTGCTTGATACAATCTATAATTTCCTCTGGTAATGGGTTCATTTCAACAGCTTATCTCATGAAAGTCAAAGTAAGATGGGGCAATCGTAATGCCTATTTTTACATAGTTATATAGTTGCATAGCTGAAAAGAGACTTGTGCCCATTGAGTTCAGTTTTTCTCACGTTTTTGCTGTTAACCCAAAAGAAGGCAAAAAAATGTTTGAAACGCTTACAATTTTACAACAAACTAGGAAAAAATTCATTATTGGCAGTCAGATATCTCCTTGGATCAATACGCTATTACCCCACTAATTAGAAATTATATTACTGTATGTTATGTTTTTGCAATTGCTTTATCCAATTGCTGTTTAAACATCTGTGTGGACTGTTTAAAACAAATTCTTTGCCTTAGACTAAATTTCCTTTCTTCCAGCCTAAATGTGTTACCTCGTGTCCTATGTATAGCTCTGTTTATGAATAGATTTCCAAACAATAGTTTGTACTGGACCCAGATATATTTGTATGATATTATCATATCCCATCTGAGGCGCCATTTTTCCGAATGAACGAGATTTAACATTTTTTTTACAACTCTCATCTCAATGCCATCTCATTGATTGCCACATGTAACTCAAATTTGTACAGATCTTACAAATCTCTATGTTACTGCTATTGAAGTGTAATATAATCTATGCATTTGCTTGCAATTTGTTCGATACTTTATATAGATGAAATTTTATGTTCTGATGGAATGCCATATTTCCTTGATGGATGCACTTTGTGTACTTTTAAGATGTCGTCTAATTGCCATAACATTACATATCAAAGTGGTTATGGTGCCATCCCCTGGTTGTTGGTTGAAAATTTTCCAGGAATTTTAACCAAAAGCAGAGGTCTCCATGGCCTGACCCCACTCAGCCTCATTTCAACCACTTTTAAAGTTATTCATTGGCTGAGGTTAGCTGACTTTTTCAGCCAATTAATTCTGTTACAAAATAGATGAAATATGATGTTTGTAATGTGGACATGTAACTTTTGCAAGTGCAGGGAGTTGAGACAAAGGCCTTTTTTTTTTCTTCTTCTTTTTTGTTTTTGTTTGTATGTATGAGTTCAGGAGAGAAATGTACTGCACAGTTGAACACTTTTCATAGGTCTGTTATAGCTGTAATTATGTGTGTGTGTGCCCTTCCTTTTCATTAAAGGAACACTATAACGTTAGGAATACAAATATGTATTCCGAACGCTATAGAGCCCTAGTCACCGTTTAGGTGACTGGGGCCTGGTTCTGTGGTGAATAAATAGTTAATTAACCATTTATTTGCTTACCTTAATCCAGCATCGGGCTCCTCGGCACTAGTGACCTCTCCTCCTCCATCAACGTCAGCTCCAAAGTGGAGCCGACTGCGCATGCGCGGCCAGAGGCGCGTGCGCATTCAAACCCACCCATAGGAAAGCATTTCCTTTTTTAAATTTTTTTTATAATTCTTTATTTTTCGTGCATATAGGCTTAACAATCAGGTTTGTGGTGCCCCAAACGCAATCCACTCACTTTTGCCATTAACATATGAAACATTGGGGTACAGAATGACGTGCACATTTTTTACATTTAAAGAGTATTAACCAAGTGTTGAGTAACATGCTGGATAGTCCATTACTGTGATTACTACGGAGAATGGGCAAAACATGAATAGGCTTGCTTATATAGTAGTTAAATGTGGAGTAACATGCTAGACAATACATGACTGTAATTACTTATGTATTTGCTGTTCAGGTGTACGCTAATTGCAATACGGTTGGTATTGTTAGACTAATATTTGGTTGGTTACATGCTAGATCTTCAAGATAGTTGTGTAAACCCCCTGGGGTTGAGCTAGCCGCTTTGGGGTACATAGGCATTTTGAGTGTGGTCGTGAGTTAAAGTATGCATGCCTTAGTACCCGAGTAGGGGTGAAGGGGTTAATACCGCCATTTCTTATTCACCATTTGTGGTTCAGCGTACCCTTACCAAAAAATAACACATTTATCACAGTGGTCATTGCCTGCCCATGGTGTGCCCACTAAGGTTCTGCTGGCTTATGGCCTCGCAGGGTTGCCCCTGGTCCATACTTAGATTAGGTTGGTGTCGGGAGGTTAATTGCACTATGGTCTCAAACATTAAGAGTTAACAAATATTGCATGTGTGAGGCATTACAACTCGTGATTCCATATACTACGCAACATGGAGCTCACGATTACTGTAGGCAAGTTCTGGTTGTTCATCCGACGCCCGATGGGTTGAGGGCGTTGCCGGCCTGGTGGCCTTTGTGCAGGTTGTCGGCGGTGACTCTCTGCCAGCCCCCTCTCTCGCTGGACCTCTGTGGGCCGGGTGTTTTAGCGCAGCTGTAAAGTTTTGCGTGTTCCTGGGGTCCCCCTGCGTGGCATAGTCTTTTGGGTAACTTAGTGACCGTTGGGCCGGTCTGGGTGCTCGGAGGTGGTACCTTTTGGGTAGGTCGATGTTTGCGAGCATGTCGGTATTTCTTTGAGTTAGGTACATGGCGGCAAGGTTTAGGCCTCCGCTGGATCACCCGCTTACTTCTCCCCATGATTCGGACTGCTTCATGGCCCCGTATGGTGGTGACTGTTTGTCGTGCCCTTATTTGTGTAAGCTCTGCAGGCAGCTTCGTCTCAGAGGTGGTCCTGCAGAGGGTGATTTTGGCCCAGAAATCCTGCAGTAGACGGTCAATCCTCTCCGCTAGTGGGGGCAGTATGGTGCTGGGCGTTAGGTTGCACGTGGTGTCCGCCATGTTTTTCTCTATTTGTTTCATTGTGTGGTTAGGGCCTGGTCTGCTCCCTGGTGTTGGGTCGTCGCTTGTGTTTGCCGGGATATCCCCCACCGGCGTGGGGGGGGAGGTAGAGTCCTCCGGGAAGACCTGGATCCGCGAATGCTGCTGCTGTGGAGGGATCGGCTGCCTCACTCGCATCGCCCTGACTTCGGGTCTATCCCCAGTAAGAGACTGTCGCTGGCAGTTGGAATTTCTGGCTTGTGTTGCCGCTTTAGCGAGCCCCTTAAGCTGGGGTTGTTGTACAAGCATATTTGAGGGCTTTTTCTCGCTTATTTCAGATTCTTTTAAGTTTTTGCCACGGAGCCCATGTTGTGTGCGACTGCTCGCCATGGCTGCCAGGCTCCGGCCCCCAGGAAAGCATTTCTTAATGCTTTCCTTTGGAGATCTTTTTTGACACTTGAGGTCTGTGAGGACGTCCAGCGTCAAGTGTGATTTTACTCCGTGTAAATCGCAGAAGCCACTAGACAGCCACTAGAGGCTGGATTAACTCTGCAGTATAAACATAGCAGTTTTCTATGTTTTCAGCTTCAGGGTTAAAACTAGGGGGACCTGGCACCCAGACCACTTCATTGTCATGTGCCACCTACCTAGAGATTGTTGCAGTGTACACCCTTCATGGCAGTGTCCTCTTTCAGCAGGATAATACACCCTGCCACACTGCAAAAATTGTTCAGAAATGGTTTGAGGAACATGACAGAGTTTAATATGTTGCCTCCAAATTCTCCAGATCTCAATCCAATTGAGCATCTGTGAGATGTGCTGGGACAACAAATTCGATCCATGGAGACCCCACCTCGCAACTTTCAGGGATTAAAGAATCTGTTGTTAAAGTCTTCATGCAAGATACCACAGGACACGACTGGTTCAGGGATTATGTGGTGTCCATGCATCAGAGCCACAAAGGCCTGCAAGTCATATCATACTCAGAGCATAATTCTGAATCATGCTAAAGAAATATTGAGTAATACATTATAGAAATCAAGCACACGAAGAGTCTGCTGAAAAATGTTACTTTGGTTTTCCCTGTTTACTTGTAGATCTCACTACTCTGTTGCTTCCTAAGCTAATGAGAACTATATAAAGATAGTTAAGAGTGTGATGGAATCTCTCTTGTATCTTCTACAATAAATCTACATCATTTTGCATTTCAGACCACTATAGGCACCCAGACCACTTCAGCTTAATAGTTTTTGCAGTGATGTTCCAGGAGGGATAAGCCAAATGACAAATGATTTAGGTAAACTAGAAAAATGGTCAGCATTGTGGCAACTGACATTTAATGTGGATAAGTGCAAGATAATGCATCTTGGACGTAAAAACCCAAGGTCTGGGTGCCATGTCCGGCTAGTTTTAACCCTTTTTGCTGTAAACATAGTGGTTTCAGAGAAACCGCTATGTTTACAATAGGGTTATTCCAGCCTCTAGTGGCTGTCTCATTGACAGCCGCTAGAGGCGCTTCTCACTGTGATTTTCAAAGTGAGAAGACGCCAGCGTCCATAGGAAAGCATTGAGAATGCTTTCCTATGGGCTGGCTGCGCGCGCAGCTCTTGCTGCGCATGCGCATTCAGCCAGGGGCGTCAGAAGAGGGAGGAGAGTTCAGCGCCGAGTGAGCCCGGCGCTGGACAAAAAGGCAAGGGATTAACCCCTTCCTTCCCCTTCAGGTGGGGGCACCCTCAGGGCACTATAGTGCCAGGAAAACAAGTATGTTTTCGTGGCACTATAGTGGTCCTTTAAAGGCCTCCATGCACTTATCCTTTACCTAATTGTTTAGAAATATTTCACAACCTACTTGTATTGCAGAGTCTAAAACTAGTCTCTTTAATCATGAAATCCCCATTTTATTTATTCCGGTTAATATGTAAGTATTGCCTACATTGTATGCCTATCTTTCTGTAAATATTGTAAAGGAACAACCCTTAATAAATACATGCAACACCTCCACGTTCTTTATGATGTAATAAGCCTCAATATGTAATTTTTGCCTCCCAGAATATTATTGCTTTATAAGCAATTCCATAGTTCATTAATTTGATATTCACAGCCATGTGATCAGTTTTGTTATTAAGAATGAAAGATATTTTATTAAACTCATTGTGTATTTACCTTTCAGGAGGAGCAGATTTTGAAGAGCAGTGTTACTCCACCAACCATGCCATTCCCCTTTGGGAAATCTCACAAGTCTCCTGCAGACATAGTGAAGAATTTGAAGGAGAGCATCGCTGTGCTGGAGAAGCAGGACATCTCCGACAAGAAAGCAGAAAAGGTAACATACTGCCCTTCTCCATATATTCGCAATATACAGTATTGCCAACTTGTGTGCAGGATCATCATCAACAATATCTGCTTTAATTGCAATGTCTGCCTCATATTGTATGTTTATTGGCATCTGTTATTGTAAGAACCACATGCATTGCATAGTTATTGTCCTACTTTGAATGGTTCTTATCTTCCAGCTAGAATTTGGTTCATTTTCATTCTGTTGAACAGCTATTATGGTATTGAATAGAACTGGTGTGTGTCTAGAGTACTGGCTTCAGTAACAACAGCATGTAGTATGAGGGTGTTTGTTAGAATATATCAGAGGACTTGCTATAACCAAGTGGAGGTTTTATTTTTATTATACAGTGTAGCTGTGATACAGAAATCATTGTGTATATTTTCAATGTTATATAAAGTCTCAGTTACAAAAAATATTCCTAAAAAAGCTAGAGGTCATCGTTTCCAGCTTTTAACCTTTAACCTTAACTAAGCACCACATTCATTTCTGCTTGTGAAATCTCTCCTTAAAGGACCACTATAGGCACCCAGACCACTTCAGCTTAATTAAGTGGTCTGGGTGCCTGGTCCAGCCAGGTTTAACCCTTTTTTTCTATAAACATAGCAGTTTCATAGAAACTGCTATGTTTATATTAGGGTTAATTCAGCCTCTAGTGGCTGTCTCGTTGACAGCCGCTAGAGGCGCTTGCATGCTTCTCACTGTGAAAATCACAGTAAGAAGACGCCAGCGTCCATAGGAAAGCATCCTATGAGACTGGCTGAATGCGCGCGCGGCTCATGCGCATTCAGCCGAGGAGGGGGAGAGTAACCCGCCCGGCGCTGGAGAAAGAGGTAAGTTTAACCCCTTCCAGCCCCTAGAGCCTGGCGGGAGGGGGACCCTGAGGGTGGGGGCACCCTCAGGGCACTATAGTGCCAGGAAAACGAGTGTTTTCCTGGCACTATAGTGGTTCTTTAAAGATGACGCAGCCAGCCAACTCTCCTTCTACAGAGGACAATTTAAAGTGACATTGTGAGTCAGATGGGGGAAGGGGACTAAGTGCACTTGTACACTTCTCCTTCTATCCATTATCTCTGATGTCAGATTCACACTCCTTGCCCTGTGCTGCACATTATGGGCTAGTGGGGCAAGTGGCAGTTCTTTGCTGCAATATCCCTTAATAAAATATTAAATATCTTCACTGTGTAGCATTTTTAACTTCCCTTGAATGCTGGATGCTTACATCGGAGGAGCATAAATTATTGTGAATGACCATGGATATTTGTTTATAATGTTAAGTTTTGGTTCGTTGATGGTTGTGGCTATATACAGCAGCTTAATAAGATATATATTCTTGTGATTTTTATGGCTGATAACCATCTGTACTATTGTTCAGTGATGGCCACTCTAAGGCACTGCAGCTATTAAGGCCTACGTATCCTGCCAGCCAGATATCTGAGTATCAAGACTTAAGAACAAAGGTTCCACACACTTAAGCTAAGTGTTACTTGCTGCCTACTTGCTGATGTGCATTCTATTCTGTACTGGGTGTGAGAACCAGGTGATTCATGATTTATTGCAGGAGGAACTCCCACTTCTCAGATACACAGTACTACCTAATCTGGTTCAGACGTGTTCTGTAGCAATAAGTCTTCACATGGTGACTTCCTGACCAAGTCTGCACCTTGCATGGTGACATTGACCCATCAATTAGTTCTCATACAGTCACAGTGAGAGAGAGACAGATCTATGATCTCATTCTGACATGGTGCTAGATGGTGTACTATAAGGAGGAGAGAATCTTCTCTCAGCCACTGCTTCCTCATATAATTAAAAAGTCAAATGCCTATTCGTTACTCCATAGTTTTGCTCTTCACCCTCATTTATTGTGTACAGTAGAGCAGGCGATGTTTAATAATTTGTTTTACAATCATCCATGTGTTTGAAATTTTGATGTAGAATGGGAATTCTTTGAAAGCTCATTAACTCTTGGGTGCCATAAATGTAATCAACCTATTGTGTTGATTGCTTGAAAGCTGCACTATAATTTCAAGAGCGAGCAGCATCCCAAGTAAAAACCGTGTAGTGACTGCGCTCTGATTTATTAGAGAGCACCAGACTGTGAGTCTTGGATGATGTGATTTCCACATCCCTGTGATTATACTATCATAGTTCTTGTGATAGTGATAAAGAACATACTGCCATGGCACGGTAAAGTTGTAATTTATTCAGAAACAGCTTCAGCGTTTCTGCAGTGAGTTTTTGCAGTGATGTTCCAGGAGGGATAAGCCAAATGACAAATGATTTAGGTAAACTAGAAAAATGGTCAGCATTGTGGCAACTGACATTTAATGTGGATAAGTGCAAGATAATGCATCTTGGACGTAAAAACCCAAGGGCAGAGTACAGAATATTTGATAGAGTTCTAACCTCAACATATGAGGAAAGGGATTTAGGGGTGATTATTTCTGATGACTTAAAGGTAGGCAGACAATGTAATAGAGCAGCAGGAAATGCTAGCAGAATGCTTGGTTGTATAGGGAGAGGTATTAGCAGTAGAAAGAGGGAAGTGCTCATGCCATTGTACAGAACACTGGTGAGACCTCACTTGGAGTATTGTACACAATACTGGAGACCGTATCTTCAGAAGGATATTGATACCTTAGAGAAGGTTCAGAGAAGGGCTACTAAACTGGTTCATGGATTGCGGTATAAAACTTACCAGGAAAGGATAAAGGATCTTAACATGTATAGCTTGGAGGAAAGACGAGACAGGGGGGATATGATAGAAACATTTAAATATATAAAGGGAATCAACACAGTAAAGGAGGAGACTATATTTAAAAGAAGAAAAACTAACACAACAAGAAGACAGTCTTAAATTAGAGGGACAAAGGTTTAAAAATAATATCAGGAAATATTACTTTACTGAGAGGGTAGTGGATGCATTGAATAGCCTTCCAGCTGAAGTGGTAGAGGTTAACACAGTAAAGGAGTTTAAGCATGCGTGGGATAGGCATAAGGCTATCCTAACTATAAGATAAGGCCAGGGACTAATGAAAGTATTTAGAAAATTGGGCAGACTAGATGGGCCGAATGGTTCTTATCTGCCGTCACATTCTATGTTTCTAAGTTTTGGAGTTGACTTCATTGCATAGGGCTTTAGAAAATGTTTGTATTGCTAAACCATGTACAATTTGGGTAGTTGCACTGTGTTTGAGAGTGCGTTTTTGATATCTGCTGTAAAGAACATGCACTGTGCAAATAAAGGAAGGTTTGTTTATCTTGTTGTATCCTTGCTACATTGATCATGGTATTAATATAGCAGAATGATTTGCATACATTTAATAGTCATGCATGCATCCTGTTAAAGTTGCATGTTTTGTCTTTAAAAAATAGTCGAAGGTACATTCACTATAGAGTAGAGGTCTTCAATTGTTTAAGGAACTACATCACCCATGATACTTTGCAGGACAAGCGGGACACCTTTGCTGGAAGAAGTGATGGGTAACTCAAATAAAATTCATGAGGTTAAGTCTAATGAAGTTGACAATTACCATGCACTGTTAGGGATTTCAGTCACACTGTAAGTCAGACCTAGGAAGCTTTGTCCTTGGAAATGCAGACAGGCACAGCTGACGAGTTGGCATATGCTAATAGAGGGGCTACTTAATTCTTATTTTTAGTAGATGACTGCCCGTGGTATATTGTATGTATCTCTCTATGTAGTGCACAGCTAATATTGTGAGTTCCTTCTCCTATGGGGGTGGGGGTGCTCAGGGCAGGGCTAGACAAATTCCAGGCGCCAGGTTGCCATGACGTCTAGGATGTCAGCCATTTAACACAGCCGCCCGTGGGAGCCGCCCACCCGCCGGACCAATGTAGACGGCTTGCAAGGGAGCTGAAATATACCTGCAGCTCTTTCTGCTCCTTTGCTTGCTGTTAAATGATGCCGGAAGCAGGAATATGACGTCACTCCAGCCCAGGCATCACTGCAGAGAAGAGGTGCAGATAGATTACTACCCCCTCGCATGTAGGAAGAGAGAATAGCCCCACTGGACTCCCGTTAAAAATCCACTCAGCTCTCCGAAAAGTAGGGAGGCTGAGTGAATTTTAATAAAAATCTGTGTGTCTGTGTTTGTCAGAGAGTCTGGATGAAGACAGCATGCAAATATAATAAGTTACTGGCATATTTGGAAATACTCAACCATGCCAACGTCTCCCAACTATGGTGGGGGTACTCAGGGCAGGGCTTGACAAATCAGATGCCAGGTCGCCATGGCGACTAGATGTTTTGCCCTGGCGCCTGAGATTTTAGCCCTTAAACACAGCCGCCTGTGGGAGGGAGCTTTGTTCTGTCAGAGAGTCTGTGTGTCTGTTTAGGTACCTGCCCCCCCTCCAATTGAACGAGAGTTGTTTTTACTCTCCTTTTTTTCCCACGCTGTGCCTATTTCGCCATGGCCATGTTTGGTCAATCATAATGATCTCAGCCAAGGGAGGATATTGTGCATTCGCAGTAAAACGTGCCAATCAGCATTTCCTCACGGATATAAATTGAATCAATGCATCTCTATGGGGAATACTCAGCAACCCCATACAGAGCGTGGAGATGCTGAACGTAGGAGCTGCACACTGTGCAGCACTGATTAAGGACTCTCTAGTGGCCATCTGAGTGACTGTTACTAGGCAGCAATGTAAACACTGCCTTTTCTCAGAAAAAGTAGTGTTTACATTGAAAGGTCTGCAGGTACAGGCTATAGACACCAAAACAACTACATTTAAATTAAGCATGATCTAAAATGGGGTTTTGGTGTTAAAATAAAAATTAAATGGTGGTAGAAGTGTTTTATTAAACTTGATTGATGAGGGTTTGGCTGTTGTCATGTCAAAGCATGAGTTGTTTTTTTGTACATGTTTGTATTATTGTAGGCTTTGATCTTACACCAGGCCTAAGCCACAAAACTACTAAGATAACCATCACCAGAGCTTGACATAGGGCATCGTAAAAGGTATTGATGCGTATGCTCTGACTTTGGGTTCTTCAAATGACAACATAATTTAAGAAAATATGGAGTGGGCAATAAACTGCCAGGCCAAACCCCTCTGATCCACCCAGGGGTCTGCCCACTCAGAAACAACTAGTTGTAAGGTATATATTGAGACCTGTAACATCTGAATCACCCACAAGAATTATATATAAGGGTAAATATATGTAAGGGATTTCTTGTGTTTTTATTTTATGGACTGTTTTACAATTTATCTGTTTCTGTAGGTCATTTATTTCTATATTTTTGTACCCAGCACTGTAAATCCTTTTGCCAGATTAAATGTTTCCTTATTCAGCTTGTGTCTTTGTTCTCTATGAGCTCACTCTCCTGAGGAAGGCTCAGGTAAACATGTTACCAAGAGGGTTGATTATATATGTCTGATCCGTAAAGTAAGGTTGTGATCCTATAATTCTACGGTGTGTAGGGTAACTGAAGACGCCTGGATTTAAAGTCTTGGTGGTGGCAGTAAAGTGTGTAGAAGGTATTGCAGGGGTTAATTTAGTGGTTGCTGGGACTAGCAACAGGTAACCAGGGGTTTCTCCAGGGCTGCACCTCTTCTGTGGAACTCCCTTCCCTTCTTTCACCCAGTCTCCACTCATTCAAAAAATCATTGAAAATACACTTCTTCAAAAAAGCATATCAATTAAACTGTTAGCAGGTTTTTATCCCCCACCCCCCATGACTCCTCTCCTGCAACTGTCAAAAATGACCTACTAAGCCCGCATTGAATACTTTTCTAACAACCTACCTCGTACCCCTACTTTTACCCTTTGTGTCACTATACCCCACTCCCTCTAGAATGTAAGCTCATTGAGCAGGGCCCTCCACCTCTCTGTTCCTGTACGTCCAGTTGTCTGGTTACAATTACATGTCTGTTAGTCCACCCATTCTACAGCGCTAAAGAATCTGGTGGAGCTATATAAATTAATAATAAAATAATAATTAACCCTTGCACTTCCACAGTCTCCCTACTGTCTCGGCTGGGCCAATAGTCCACGTTCATGACCGCAGTCAATAAAATAAAGGATGTTTATCATCACCTATATAGTAAGTGTATATAAATCTTTTCTCCTTGGCAACTGTTGAGGACTTGAAGTGGGCCAATAATTTTTTGATGCTAGTAGTTTGATGCTTTTTTTCCCTTTAACAGAATATTCCGTGGTGTAATTGATATGTAGGTGAACAGGTTGTTATCCAAGGAGAATTGTGATTAATATTATTATTATTGTCATTTACATAGCGCCAACAGATTCTGTAGCGATATTATGAGAGGGGGGATGTGACTGTAAATAGGACAATTACATGAAAACTTACAGGAACAATAGGTTGAAGACGACCCTGCTCAAACAAGCTTACAGATTGCTATTATGGAGTCAAGATTGCCTTTACGTTCATCTTTCCCTTTTTGTGACATAATTGGAAATGGCTACAGTTTTTTTTTTTTTTTTGTGATTGTCCCGTCTCCGTAGATGATACGAGTTGTAATCAGATTGTCCGGTGCTAAATACTGGTTTAAATGATCACTCTTAAAACCATAATAACTGTGTAACAGCACACAGTAGCTTATAACTTTAGCAATTTGTAAGATCAAGACTGCAGCCTTCATCACATTAAAAAAGTGTTCCTCCTTTTCTATGCAAGTCCCATCCAACGGATGTACGTGCAGGCAGCTCTCTCCCCTTTAGCTCTGGAGAGAACAAGCCGCACAGTTTGATGGCTCTGGAGAGTGCTGCTCACAGCCTGTTTTTTTTCATAACTGTAAACCATGTTGTGGTTATAAACTAAAAGCAGGTGTGGTATGATTGCTATCTATGCATCCATCAGTTCCACTAATCCTATGTGTGCAATAAAAAACAAGCCATATTCACACACCACAAGCTATAAATCTTCTGAAATCTACTTAAAATGCTTTTCCCTGATAACGTGTTTTATAAAATTATTTTGTACAATGTTATGCTTAGCCCACCGATATGACATCAATTTAGACAAGTCCTTTCCTAATTATATTATGTACATGGGAGCAGAGTCCATGCTTCTTTACACATACTGAGACTCCATGGCAATCTTCAGACCTCTAGGTGTGTGTTTGGGGAATGGTTATCTTTTCTGTTTGAAGCTCTGGGTGATTTTTGTGACCATGCTAAGTATTAATATCAGTGCCTTGTCAGCTCTTTTATGTAACCAAAGAGATTTAAATATTCTTTTACAGCTATAGACATGTATTGTTACAAGGATGTAGGCCCGGGGTAAAGAACTTTATTAAAACTAGAACCTTTTTATGCAAGAATGTTATGACACACTACATAGGTTTGTCATGCAATACATTTTTGTTGTCTTCTTTTTAAATGAGTCAAGCAAAATTGCTGACCAGCGAACGTGACAAGACGATTGCATTTCTAAAAAGGGGAGAGAGGGCAAATGATCAAAAATGCTGTAAAATTTAAAAGGAAAATAAATGTCATGAGGTTCTCTTTAGGGCATTTCAAATTAATGATATAAAAGTATTTAATAGAGTTAATTTATTTTCCCACTTGTGTCTACTAAAGGTTTTTAGCCATGTTCTGGTAAGAGGAGTAGAAAATAACATATTTTCCATGGGTTAAATGTACATTTTTAGATCCATGATTGAACCTGTGTGCAGCTGTAATCCAGCGACTTTTATTTATTTTATTTTACCTGTTTGATTTTAGATCTAAATATCTCTGTTCTCACTTTTTACCTTCAACGTATCTTTTTCCTGATAATGCTGCAAGTACTCCTAATTAGATAAGACCAAATATTGAGATTTCACCAAATCTCTTTCCTGTTGCCTGTGTATCTTTGAGTTTATATCAACTTTTTTTTCCCTATGCTGTCTCATTTTGCAGTTTACAGGAGGGTTGTTACCTCACACACTCAAGTCCCCCACCCATCAAACCAATTCCCTTAGTCGTTCCTCTTCAGGCTTAAACATATCCCTTCCTGCTTACTCTACTGATGACATACATAACAGGACCAAGGATGAAAAGAAGCTGGCATGGCCCAAATCAAAACGGAGCTCGTTTGTGTCCGGGAGACAGAAGATGGACAGAACTGCCATATTATCGGTCAATATGTCTGCCTTTTGCTGGGCTCTCTGTGTAGGGTCTTTTGGTGGAGGAGGTCCTCACTGTGTTGGTTACTAACCATTTCCTACAGGACAATCAACTAATGCCACGTGCATAAGTGACAACATGTCAGTAATGGATACCAAGAATGTTTCTTTGTGTGGTCTCCCTGTCATTATAAGGCTGAATGTGACTAAAGACACGTGGGTGTGAATCACACTAGTTACACAAAAACATTACCAAGGACATATGCAATCATTGTTCAGGATACACAAAGCCAAAACAAACCTCTAAATAGTTCTCCTTTTTAAGAGAATAGGCAGAAGGGAGAATTGTCATTAGAAAAGAAAATTTAAAATGGACCAAACTCAATTCTAAATTTAAGGTTGCATGACCAGTCTTTTACAATTGATGATCTGCAGGTTTTCAATCTAGAAAGATGTGTGACCTGCCTGCACACACTGACCAAAACTCAACTGATCATCCTGTAGCTCTACCATTCCTAGCCCCTGTGATCAGCAAATAATCAATGGTGTAATGCAGGGTAGAGTGGTTAAAAGGTAGATTCCAGCCGTTGGAAAAACATTAAGATTGTGCTTTTATAACCGCTTGTCTTGCCTTTTTTTTTTATTGCCTTCCTTGTCCTTTTTCCTGCAACTAATAACCGTGCACTTTGGAAAGAATGGACATTTAGATTAAACATTTTCCTGCCTGCTCTTTTTTTGTCTAGACTAAAGCAATGCCCATCTATAATTGGGGAATGCCGTTGCAGTAAATAGGAAATCGGAAATACTTTATGATTATGATAATGAACACTCCAATGGGGCGGTGGGGAGGGAGAGAGAGAGAGAGAGAGAAAGAAAGAGACTATTAGATGAAAAAATGCATGCATGTACTTATGCATGGTTACATGGGGGATATCTAAAATAGCTTGTAAAATGACAGACTTCACTGCAGCTCAATGAGAAGTATTTGCAAGATAGGTGCTCTGGGCAATTGCTGCCTCTTGAGTTTAGCTCCACTAAGTTATACTACCTGGAAGTAACAGGACTGGTTGTCTGACAGCCGGAAATAGGTGGTGTAACAATGTTAATTTCTAAAAAGTGCCAATTTCTATTGACAGCTGCACTTTATGTAAATTGAAAAAAAGGAAACGCCCGTCACTCCAGGACTGCTTGGGGCTGCTCCTTGGTGGAGGTATGGCTGATGTGCAGTGAAGTAATTCTGCCCTACTCATACGAAGTTATATTTGCGGTGAAAAAACTTAGTTGGCTCTCTCGGCAGCAGAGAAGGGGACCCTCATTCAGTGTTTAAACCATTCTCGAATAATGAACTATCTATCTAACTCAGTTGTTTTTTTGAACCTGCCATTGTTTTTGGTTAGTGTTCTGCAATGCCTGGTAATATATATTATTAAATTAGCATGCATGCGCTTATCTCGCCCCCAGTGTCTTTAGTCACATAAAGTGGCGTTGTACCTCTATCAAAACTAAAACTTTTCAGAATATTTTGACCCATTTCTGTTTCTTCTTAAAACTAATCATCGGACATCTTTCCATTAAGTGATCATGTCTGGAAACCGCAGGCTATTGTCTTTTTACTCCTGGTGGCCTGACATACCTTACATAGTAAGGTATTTTACTATGTAATCTACTCATAGATTGTGACTTTAATGGCATGCCTCATGCATGAGACACATTGTAATTAGTTGTGGTTCCAGTCTGTGGTCATTGGGAGTAAAAATGTATTTTTCTCTGTGAGGCTCCGAGTTCCCTGCAGTACCACTACATGTGTTTGCCAGTGGTGGACTGTGGAATTTGGATTCAGTGTTGTGAATATCTAACAGTCACTATAACTGCTTTCTCTATGGGAAAAGGATATAATATCTAATCATGCACTTACCAAGGTGTTTTATTTCCTAAAGAAACCAAGTCCTACATCTAACAACTTTTTTTTTGTTTTTAGATAAACCTTGGGTGCTACTTTTTTTGTGGGGTGATGTGCAATTTTAAAGTCTTTGACTAGCAATGTTTACAGTTATGGTGTTTGAATTCGCTCTCTTTGTTTAACAGGCAACTGAAGAGGTGTCAAAAAACTTAGTGGCTATGAAGGAAATCTTGTATGGCACAAATGAAAAGGAGCCACAAACAGAGGCTGTTGCTCAGCTTGCTCAGGAATTGTACAACAGTGGCCTTCTGGGAACCCTGGTGGCTGATCTCCAGCTCATAGATTTTGAGGTGATACAGAAGATCTATAGCATTTCACACTAGCAGTAAGACAATAGCCTTAAAAAAGTTAAATGCCATGTGAATAGGAATTCAGATGTTTATCAAATCCCAAATGGCGTAAGAATATGGACGTTTGGAGACGCATATTTTATATATTTATAGTTGTTTGCTTTTCCAGGAGTGAGTGTAGTGGTTTAAAAAAAAAAAAAAAAATCTATGGTTTTGTTTCCAGGATTCATTATGAACCAGGAGGGATCTTGTAAGAGCAGAGTGGGCAAATGATAGATGTTCGAGAACGTTGATAGCTTCTAAACTGCACTCTGTATATCTTATGAAAAACCTAACTTGCCCCCAAAGTTACACTGAGTAGCAAAGCAGTCAATATATTCTGGTAAATATTTCATGTACCAAATTTAGTAGAAGAATTGAAGTATTCCAATGGTAAAATGCTTGTGTAATAAGTGCAATATCAAAAGAAAAGACTAAATTTAGCTGGTCCCTAATATCTATGGGTCTTCCTATCACCCTGGCATCACTGAATGTCAGCACATAACTATAACTTTTACCTAAAGATATAAACCAGCTGCCATGACTATTTCTTATTTTAGAAGTGTTCATGGTGGAAAGAGTCTGTATGTGTAGTATGTGTAGTGTTTCTGCTTGTAATGCTGCTACATTCAGAGATATATTCTCTTTTGTGCCAGGGATCTCTGCTTGGAAGGTGCAATGAGAAGCAACTGTGTCCCCTCCATCCCTCCTGCACTCCCTCCCCATGCTCTCTATTTTAAGCATGACTTTCTATTTTTTTTTTTTTTTTTTTAAATTTATATATTTAGGCCTCACCACTCCTTCCTCTCCGCATATTATCCCAGACACAATAGTGCTAGTCTAATCACTAGCAAAAATATCCTCGATTTGTGAATAGATACTGAATTTGTTACACTTTCTCAATTAATTCCCAGGTTATTCCATTTTTTTTTTTTTTTTTTGCAGAGCAGTAATTCCCACCTGTGGCCCTCAAAGTAAAGTTCTCCACTTGCTTACACAAATTTACAATTTCTTCTATTCAGGGCAAGAAGGATGTGGCTCAGATCTTCAATAATATTTTGCGAAGACAAATTGGCACACGAACCCCTACAGTGGAATATATATGCACCCAGCAGAATATTCTCTTTATGCTTTTGAAAGGGTAAGAGCTCTGTTCACTATGTTAACTTTGCATGGGAAACTTAGTCTAGGTGAACAGACTGCCTAACTCTGGGCAAGAATCTGATATCCTACACACGTGTAGGTTATTTTCTTTGTGTTGCATACTTATGTTCCCTGTTTTATTTCATTTTTTCCCCCCCCTGTCAATGCAAAATCTTCAGATATGAATCTCCTGAGATTGCTCTGAATTGTGGGATCATGCTGCGGGAGTGCATTCGGCATGAACCACTCGCAAAGATAATCCTGTGGTCTGAGCAGTTCTACGACTTCTTCAGATATGTAGAGATGTCGACGTTTGATATTGCCTCAGACGCATTTGCAACATTCAAGGTGACAATTCTTTTTGTTCGTTTTTTCACTCTCTCACTTTTACAGTAAAACTAGTTCAAATACATCTCATTCTCAAATGTTCTCTGACATTTTTTAAATGTATTTTTTTTAAAGTATACAGCATTACAATCTTTCAAAAATGTATTAGATATCTACCAGGGTTAAGCAAATATATAAATTATTAAACTTGTATGTTTAATGTTATTTTAGTTAAATTAAACAATTCATGTTGTTCTCCAGATATGAGTGACTAACCTTATAAACTGGGGATAATTCACCTTGCAAGAATTTGATCATTGTATGTGTATTTCTAATGGTATACAGTATAACATAATCAGTACTGATATAACGTTTAAACTAATCAGAAAAGTTATAATTCTAAATATGAAATCTTAATCTGGTTGCAAATGTTAAATTTATTAAGGTTATTCACAAATTAAGAATTCAAGGTTAAGTTAAAGTGAATTTCAAATTTAAGGACAAAATAGCCGTGCTGGACAAATTCTCCCAGTCAGCTATGCTTTCTCTTTGGCTATTTTGGCCTTAAATGTGAAATTCACCCTAAATTCTCACTTTTGTACATAATCCTGTGTAATAATCAGCAAGAATGAGTCTTCATTAATTACATTTTTAAAATCATGATTTAAATTGAATTTTACAGGCTAGTGACTAAAATCGTGATTTAAATCAACTCTACCCTGGTATCTACACAAATTTGTTTTAATAATATGTTTAGCAGAGGTTGTGTGAATATTTGCATGTTCAATACTAGTATTCTCCAAGAACAATTAATTATTTTCAAGTGACAATACCTCACATTACTGTAATAAACCTTTTTTCCTATTGGTTTTCTGCATTTCAGTTCCCATTTTCCTGTTCCTTATCTTTACTGTACAGCATTAAAAATTAAACCTGCTCTAAATATGGACATTGGCTAAAAGGTGGTTCTGTGTTTTTTATTTTATGAATATTTAGGATCTGCTAACAAGACACAAGTTACTGAGTGCAGAATTCCTTGAGCAGCATTATGACAGGGTAAGATTCAGTCTCTGTGAGATTCTAGATCTATTACTTATTTGCCTTTTATCATTAGTTTGCCAGGAGTACACATTCCACCTGTTCTGTGTAGTCAGTCCGTTTCAAATTATTCTCGTAGTCCCTGCACGTTCCTGATGGCACTGCAGTTCATGATTACAGCTCTGTCTAGAGGGACACTGCTTTTAGGTTCAGAACACTATGCTGTAGTGATTTTTAACTGGCTGAGGAGAAAGGGCACTATGGAGATAGATATATATATATATATATATATATATATATATATATATATATATATATATCTCTATCTAACGAAACAGGATTCATGTTTACTTCAAGATCCGTAAAAGGAACAATAGAAACTATTAAATAAAAAACATTTTAAATGTTTATAAAAAAAATAGTTTTATATATATTTATAATTAGACAGTAGGTATTGTATCTAGAATATATAGCCTTTTATGTATATAAACCATACTGTGTAACTGTATAAATTACTTACATAGGTTGTGTAAAATGGTTCCGGCAAGTGAAATGAAATACTCTGTAATGTGTGTGTGTATATATACACATGAATCCTGTTTCGTTAGTTGTTTTTATCCATATTTCTAGAGATGCTTAATGTATTACCTGCCTCAAACATCTTCCTTTACTTTCATGCTCTATACCAAAGTAATACATGTTACTGATATGTAGTAGTAGCTCTGTTTTTGTTATCTATTACTTACAGATACTAACAGATACACATTGTTACAGGCATAGGTTATGCCATTGCACATTGATTTTAGCAGACATACATAGCTTTGTGAATGGTACCACTAATATCCACACACACCTTTACCTTGTTTTACTCATCTATTCCACTAATTCACACTGTCTTGTATTACACACTTGCCTCTAGTCCTAATGCTTTTTACAGTAAAGAATGCACATTATTGGTATCTGTGATATATTTCTCCCAGTGTTATTAGATACCACACTCTGCTGTATGTAGCACCTTCTTCCTGCTTAATGACATCTGGTTTCTCTTCTCAGTTCTTCAGTGAGTATGAGAAGCTATTGCATTCTGAAAACTATGTGACAAAACGGCAGTCACTTAAGGTATGTCTGTTATATCCTGCTTCATCCTTATTGATTTCATGTGGAAACACTTTAGTGTTATTCTGTACTGTACATATGTGCTTAAGCATCACTTGCTATAGTGCCCTAGTAATTTAATTTCATTATCATGGTCGTCTTAAGCAGAAGAAATCTCACACTTTTTTAACATGTAAGGGAATAAAAAGTTAATAAATTCTGTCTACAAAACGTATTTCCAGTCTTGGCAGTCCAAGTGTTAAACAAAGGAGGATGTTTAAATATGTAGGACCAATGTTTAACATTTTATATCTAGAAATCTCTTCATTTGCCAACAACCACCTCAATGCCTTGGATGGCCTAGAGCTTTCATCATTGTTGTTATTTTTATTTAATTTATAACATGCCAGCTTAGACATCATGTACAATACATAAACAATATTGGGTGATGTGGCTGTGCTCGTATAACTTTACACTGTGATGGAACTGGACAATAATTAGACAGTAGGTATTGTATCTAGAATACATAGCCTTTTATGTATATAAACCATACTGTGTAACTGTATAAATTACTTTATAGGTTGTGTAAAATGGTTCCGGCAAATTGTACGAAATGGCTAGTGTCCTGTGAGGAAATGAAATACTTTGTAATTTCATTTGGGAGAAGTTATATAGTGTTATAGATTGAGGTACATTGCATTTCATAAGAAATGGAGCAGTTGGGTCATCAAACATTATATTTCCTTAGTGCTTGCTTTCCCAAAGGTGGGAATAAAAGTGAAATAAACAATAAAATAAGTATTGTTATGAATTTAAAATTAACCTACAGATGCTTAATGTGCATGTGTGTGTTTAAACAGATGGAGACTTACTGATATTTTATATTATTTTATTTTTAGCTTTTGCTAAAATGAGAATTGTCAGGAAATTCAAAGTGAAATTCAAATCTAAGGCCACAGTAGCAGAACTGGAAAAATTCTGCAAGTCATATATGCTTCAGTTCTGGCTACTTTGGCATTAAATGTTAAATTTCATTTTAGTTCCCTACAATTCTCACTTTAGTAAATAACCCTGTTTGTATAATGGGTTGTGCATCAATTTTGCAATAATGGAAAAGTAAAACCCTGCAACTCAGCTATATTCTCCTGCTTCCAAGAGAAAATGCTGAGATGCCTGAAGGTAAAAATATAGCTGCACATGACCCATAAACTCAAAGAATTTTAAAGGTTATGGACATATCATTGTAATCGGGTGGCTTCTGTAAACCAGTGTTCCTTTAAGTTTTATTTACTTATTCTGTTGTATTTTTATTCAGTATACAACTTTAGCTGACCTTAAACTCAATTTAATATTTTTATTTAAGCTTTTCAAATGATTTGGTATTTTTGAATAAACTTTTTAAAAAAAAAAATTTTTTAAATATAAAAGTCTATCAAAATAATAAAATATTTAAATATTTTTCAAAGTTTACCCAGAAATATTAAATTGAGGCCTCTATTTCATGTTTGGCTTCTGTGTAAATTTTAGCTGGCAGCCATGACCTATTTGATTATATTTCCTGATTGGATAGACACATCACTCCCACTGAAAGCACTAGGGGAACAGGGAACAACAACCACTTCCTGATTTCCTCAAATACTATCATCGATTAAACATAACCTGGACATTGTAAAAGTGTGTCTTTTATATGTAATCTTCAATGGAATTCATTAACAAAATAGTGATCTCCTGTTTTTGAGTGTCCCTATAATTTAGTGATTTATTTTTAATATTGTGGTTGACATGAACTGACATTTCTTTATTATCTTTGTACCCTTTTTTCCCCTTTATCTACCTCTTTTTGCTTCCATACAATTACCTTTCCATTTTACTTGCAACCTTTTTTTTTTTTTTTTTTACATTTTATTTCCTCTCCTTTATTGCTTCTTCTTACATACTCACATTCTCTCTTATTTTGTTGTCTCTTTTGGTTTATTTTTTTCATCTTCCTCTTGTACCTCGGTCTCTTCTGCCTACAGCTACTCGGAGAACTTTTGTTGGATAGACACAACTTCACAATTATGACTAAATATATAAGTAAACCAGAGAACCTCAAGTTAATGATGAACCTTCTACGTGACAAGAGTCGCAACATCCAGTTTGAAGCTTTTCACGTGTTTAAGGTGATGATGGGGCAAGTTTTTATTGTGGCGAAGTGAAAAAAATATTCCAGCTGAGTGAAGTGTGTTTTGGGTGATAAGAAGGGCAGATTGTGAAAGAGAAGACATTGTTGATGAAATTGGATATATATGTATCTTCATGGTGTGAGTGTCTCCAAAGTTGTAGGACGCAATAAGAACTCTCCAGATTTGTGGGCGCATTTTCGATCTTTCTAGTTGTTGAATAGATCTATAAACTGGAACTTAAGGGGTTACATTAAAGGATTATCAAGGGTAGTCTATTAACTTCTTTATTTTTTATTTCTTACACAAGAAGAATAATGGACGGCTCTGAAAATATATCACTAGTCACATGAAAATGTTCCTTATCCACTTGTTTGTGAACATAGCAAAATTATTTACTTCAGTACTGTGCAAAAGGTAGAAATACTATCATTTAACAGGATGTACAGTGAGTGAATAGAAGAAAGAACTGAGAAGACAAGCATGAAACTGATCGCTCTTTGGAAACGAGCTAAGCAGGGCTTAACTTGGAAGAGCTAATGGAAGTTCCTGCTAAAGAACGACTAGCTCTGAGGAGATCGTAGTGAAGGCAGGGAGCCAGGGGTGGAGAGTGGGTGTAATAGTGGTTGTGGTGCTTGGAATGTTCCTTTAAAATCCTATTTACTCAGCAGCACAAAATAGTCATTTTTGACAGAGAGAAAGATTTTATAACATTTAAATGAATTCAAGTAAACAAATTAAAGTTTTTACGTATCTTGCTCCCAAAATAAAAGCCTTTTATGGAAAGTAATGAGTGCAATGGAATTATAGAAGTCCAGTTGGAACTCTGAATGACCCACAGATAAAGATCTTTTATTTAATTTTTCACAACATTTTAGTTTTAATGAATTAAAAAAAGTGTATTTTTATTTATTTTATTTTTTTGTAATTGTTTCTCCATCTTTTAACAGGTATTTGTAGCCAACCCAAACAAGACTCAACCTGTTCTTGACATCCTTCTAAAGAACCAGAGCAAGCTAATCGAATTCCTCAGCAAGTTCCAAAATGACCGCACTGAAGACGAGCAGTTTAACGACGAGAAAACGTACCTAGTGAAACAGATCCGTGATCTGAAAAGACCCGCACAGCAGGATGCCTGAGGTGGATAGGGAAGGGAGGGAGAAACCAATCCCAGCGCTTGCTGTGAGAGTATTCAGCATCCCGTGGACTTCGCTAGCAACATCCTCACATCCTAACCTCAACGGTTTCACCTCATTCTCTTTATTCCACTTGCATTTGAAGTTTTAGTCTGAGTGTAACTCCTTACCAGCTGGAAAAGCCCAAGTGCTGCACTACCCCCCAGCAGCTTAGGGGTTAAAAGATGAGTTCATTGCAACTTTTTTGTTTTGTTTTTTTATCCCTTCTCTTGCACATTTGCAGCACCGGATGAAATTCTTTCCCTCACCCTTCCTCCTTGTTGCATCATCACGGGATTGAGACTCTCATTATCAAAAGATCAGGGGGGGAGGGGAGCGTAATGTAAGAGATCTTAGTATCTCAAGCGCGTGTATAGTTACTAGTCTGGGTTTTGGATAAGATGGCGTACATGTTTTTCTTTTTTTCTTTTTTTTTCCATTCTTTTTTTCCTTTTTCTTTTTTTTCTTTTTTTTTTTTATGCAAGGCATTGCATGCTTGCAGAAACAAATGAAAACAAAAATCTGGTTTCCATCAGCATATTTGCACATAAACTTGTTAGAAAAATCGAGCACAAAATCTGAAACGTGCATAGCTGGTACCCTTAGTTAAAACAACATGCCTTGATTGCAAACCGAAACTACCAATAAAATGCAACAGTGCAGTGCTTTTATTTGAAATAAAGATGAGCAGAGCGGATCGTGCGGAGGAGTAGAAAATAGAAATGGAATATTCTGTGGTCAACGTGTATTTTAAGAGTGTGAATTGGGGAGCAGCTTTCTATAGATGGTTGTGTAAAGATGAGTGTACATTCATGATATATGCCTTTCAACTGCTTTCTTGCTTCCTTTGGCAGCGTGTGTTGTTTTAGCAGGCGTTTAGGATGAATATGAAAAAAGAGCAGCATCTTATGCACTTGGGAAAGTTATCTTCTCATCTAAAAATGCCGCTCCATAAATGGTGCTGAGTGTATCTGCACTGTTTAAATTTGTGCAGAGAATAGTGGTTGATGACCCAGCAACCGATAAAACTCTTTTAATTGAAGGTGAGTAATTCAAGCAATCCCTCAGACCCTAATTACAACCTGACACCATATACCTTGTCTGATAGAGCAGTGTGGCAAGTACTGAGTAAAACATGCTTGCATATCACACTGAAGAAATTGGGCATTTTACCTCTAATTGCATAGGAAGGAAAGGGGCAAGGAGTCAACCTGGCCCATGGCGCATAGTAGATGTCACAGGTGGATGAAGCTAAGGAGTGTGTTATACTTAAATCTCTCTGTGCAGCAGCATTTCCCTCTAAGGTCTATGAACAGAAAATGCTGTTTTAGCTCCACTGACCACTCTCCTCCTGTTAACACTTCACAACTAGCTCAGTCTACCTTGCCCTGAGTGACCCTCATGGATTTGGATGCGAAAACCAGTGTTGAATTATTAATGCAGGTTATATCTTGTATTTGTAATATGTTCCTTGTTAATGCTCATGTTATAATTTGTTGTCCTGATCATCCTTTTCACTGACTGTGCGTCTTGGTTCAGTGGCTGTGCTTCTTGTGTAATGCGGTTGAGATGAAGTGCAGTGAGCTGTGAGAAAAGAAAAAAAAAAAAAAGCAGACTTAACACTGGAAGTAAATTCACAGACTGAGCCTAAAAAAAAAACCACATTTTGCCCAACTAAAAACTGGTCACCTACATAACAAAAGTAGCACTTATACAAGAAACTAGTAGATTTTCATTGAGCAAAAAAAACAAGTGACGTGTTCTGAATACCAGTTTATGGATCTCTATCGTATTACAATTGAGTTATCATGAAGATTGGTTCTCATTAAGGACATGGTTGAGTTCCTGTTTGCTAGCGTGTGCTATATTGCAGGAAAGTAACATATGAATATAAAAGGCAACTGATTGGTCCGAATTGCTAAATCTAAATGCAGGTTGTGCTTGACAATAACCTTTCTGCTTTGTGAATGGCCGTGTGTGTGTCTCTTTTGAAAGCTCAATATAAGATTGTGGCTGTCTTGTCTATGTATTATGAAGGTTTTGAGGTGGTAAAAGGTGCATGGCAGGGTAATGTGTTGTATGTCCATTACCGCAGTTTTCATTTGACTGATAAAATAAGAGAAAAAAACATGCTCAATTGGTTTAATCCGGCCACAAGATTTAATGCCAAAACTGTCAATCATCCACATTTAAAGTAAGTGGGAGATGAGACAAACATGAAGATGGAAAAAGGTATCTTGTTTTCCACATCATTGCTATAAGATATGTGAGGGATATTCTGCCTGGTGCATGTAGCTGGAACAGTGCATGTGGTTTGATCCCCACCAAATAACCCCCCATTTTTGGGACTCTGTTTATTTGATGGCCTCAAACCTCCCCTGAAAGATGCTGAAACCACAGCCTTGGGTGAAGGTATAAACGCTGCTTTCATGCAGATTTGCTTTGGGTTTATTTGGAATCTGTGTACATAAGTTTTTGGCCTCTTATTCGTAAAGAAAAAAAAAATAAACTGTACAGCAAATGATTGATTATTCTAATGATTCTTCTAACTATGTCCTTTAGTATGCATGGTGCTTGTGTGTGTGTATGTGGGTAATGTTGTTGATTCTCCAAGTAAACCTGGGAAAAACACAACTCCCTTGGAGCTAAGGCGCACACATTCATGGGAAATAAAAGTGCCATCCTATGGTTATGTAGTATACTTTCTGTATGTTTGTAGGTCCAATGATTGCAAAGTGCTTCAGATAGAGATGAAGTACCAGCTATTGCATGTGTGATATGTATACAGATGTTTAAGAAAATGGGTACAGGTGTCTGTCACTATCCAATAAAACGTACAAACTAAATTCCAGTACCAGTGGGGCCTTTTTGAACTAGACACAGGCCACTTATGTTTTATACAATAGCCGCTCAAGTGTGCAATTACAAACAAAAGTGGGTATTTTAAAATTACAAGAAATGTATTCTCTTCCTGAAAATGTGTATTCCCCCGGATGTTTATGTTAGTGGCATTCTGAAGAGCTTCATAAAATGGACTATTATTCATTGACACCAATGGAAGGGACTCAAACCTAGTGGTAATGAACAGGAAAAAACTATTTTATATCTATGTGTATATGTTATGTATGCTGTGATTTAACATACATACATACATTCATTCATTCATAAGAGTTTTATGCTAAAATTCCAAATTGAGACACTGAAACAGAGTCAAATATACTCTAACATAGCTGTGAGAATCGGTGCTGCAAGTCAATGGCAGCTAACATTGGCCATTTCCCAGGGAGGTGCACAGTTCAGTGAAAGACCGATATCCCCCTGCCATTAGCAGTTGCTGTTCTGACTCCAGAGAGCTGAAAAACGTAAAGCCTGTGGTCGTTTTGGGGGTTTCATTTTACATAGTTACATAGCGGAAACATTTAGGTTAACAGGATATCGCTGGATAAAGGGCCTCCTGCCTTTTTCTAATATAATGTCTATGAAGTAAGAATATCTTCCTCACAAATAATGGGATTCAGGGATATAAGTTAAAGGGAAACATGTATTTCTAACATTAGTTTCTTCCGAGCAATTTAGATTTCGCAGTGACCTCCCCCACCCATAGAAGGTAAATAAAGAAGTTGATCCCACGCTATGCCAGTCTTGCTGCTGCCGATGGTCGGTCTCTGAGATCATCGTCACTGCAATGAGTCAGTCCAATGCTTCTTTAGATAGAGGCATTGGGGGTACTAGTGCACATGCACCACAAGCACTGCGACAGTTATCGCCTCATAAAGTACATCAATGCTTCATGTGGAACATTCGGCATCTTCATGCAGAGCATAAGGATGTCAAATGTCAGTCCTGCAAATATTTCAGGACTGTGATGGGGAAACACCTCTCGTGGCTCTCTGACAGCAACTAGGGGCAGTTTTCTTAGAGAAATATGTGAACATGGAGCATTTACAAGTCAGAGACTGCAGGGAAATAACACTTCTGCTAAATCAACTGCATTAAACGGTCCCTTTGACTTGAGACTAAATTATGTATTGTTAGGCTTGACTTTTAACAATCAGCCAGTTATCCCCACCTGGAAACTACGGCGTCCTGTGTAATAAATCATCCAAAGAGGCTTCTCTGCTACATTATAACTACATTAAAAATTACTAGAATATTAAGTATATATGCCCTATTTATTCCTCTTTCACAATTTATTTGTAATGTGGACATATGGTATATGTTAATTATTCCGTTCCACCCATGTGGACTGGCGAGAGAGGGGCAAGTTTGTAGTGCACGTTGCAAATCTATTGTGATTTGTCCAGAATGAACTTTGACGGATTTAAACATTTTTAACTCAAAGGATCTTTTTTTTTGTTTGTTTATTGCGCAATAGATTGTTTTTGTCATTAATGGGGGAAAAATTACCTCACTGTAGAGTGTTTTCTAAACATTGTTCCTTTAGTATTTTTGCTGGGTAATCCATTATTTAGCAATCTGTTTATCCATTATTTAGCATACTCTATGGCAGTGGTTCCCAGTCTTATTTGAACAAAGGCACACCTACTTTTTCATTTTAACTTCACCAACAGCTTATAAATATCACATTTATTTAAAGCCTTGCTAGACATATATTGCAAAAAAAAAAAAAATCTTTTATTTGAAACATGGGAAGCATAAATATCACGTAAATGTATGTTTAAACAAGAATTATGTGTATAGATTGCTGTTCTGATAGACATAAAAATTATTTCCACAATTGTTTTCAATGTATTCATCCTTGATAGAAATATTGGGGAACAGAAGAGCTATAGACTGTATTTTTGCTTACGGTATTACGCCTTGGATATGAAATAGTATTAAAAACAAGGGACCTTCAACACCCCCTCACTAACTGCAGGAATGTTATGAAGTTTAAAGCTTCATTTATGTTGAGGGAGAGGGGAAGTCATTTTCAACTTGCTTGCAGACTTGATATGCATGGAATAGATTGCTAACTTACCCAAGTTAGTTCCTCTACAAGCTGGTAATCATTCTTGGAGAATACATGTAGGTAAGTGAGTCTTTATGAAATAAATTTATTTTTGCAAAACAAACATTACAAAAACACACACACATGTATTTTTTTTTAGTTTTCAAAGGATTCAAAACCACATTTTAAGGATTGAATTTAAACCATTACAGCCCTTAAGGTGGTAGGAAGTCATAATGCAAAACTTTAGCATGTTCCCTCCCCCTCTATCTGTTAAATAATTCTCAGCTTTGTTTTCCCCTTGCCTGAAATGAAGGATTTATTAATTGAGGGACACCCCCACCCCTGTGTATGTAGGTGTGCTAGGCAATAGATGGAATCCTCATATTTTCCAGGATTACCAATGTCAATATGCTTAACAACTCACTCATTTAATGGAAAAGGGAATTGGGTGTGGACCAATGATACTCATCTCTTCCTTCATTTAAAGGGACACTATAGTCTCCTAAATTACTTTAGCTAAATAAAGCAGTTTTAGTGTATAGATCATTCCCCTGCAATTTCACTGCTCAATTCACTGTCATTTAGGAGTTAAATCGCTTTGTTTCTGTTTATGCAGCCCTAGCCACACCTCCCCTGGCTATGATTGACAGAGCCTGCATGAAAAAAAACAACTGGTTTCACTTTCAAACAGATGTAATTTTTTTTTTTTTTTAATTCTTTATCTTGGTCGTGCATAGATAAACAGGGAGCCTTGCATTACCACAACAGCTGATGCAGACAGTTCAGTAAACATATATCTTCGTTCCACCGGAGATATACTAGCTTAATCTCAGTGTCTAGACAGATAAGGGTATAGAATTAAAGCTCAGCGTTGGGTTAGGTATATCCAGCTAGACAAGGAGCAGGTAGTTAACTATGAAACGGTGAAGTCTGCTAGACATGTAAGAGGCACCAGAGAGAGAGCGTGGGGTGCACGTTTAAGACTTAGAAAAACAACAATTCAATGAAATAACAGCAAGCTTAATCATGTAGGTAAATAGCCTGTCAGGGTTAAGCTGCACTTTTTCTTTAAGTACACAGGATGATGCTATTAACTACGAGTAACCAAAAAGGATAATTTTCTTTGCTTGTATGTCATGAGTTTTGCTCTCATGGGTGCTTAGTAAAGGAGAACCGAGTAATACATAATAGTATGCTGGATGCTTTAAGACACGATATACATGAAAGTAGTACGATTAGGTGTAAGTAGATGTAGAATAGATCTGTAGTTAAATGCACAAGTATTAATATAAAGAAGTTACAGCAAGATAAAACTAATGGAACTTATAGACCACTGGAGCTGAGCTGACCATTGTGTTATTATATGTCTCTGTATGAGGTCAATTGAAGAGAGATGTTTAAGGATGGCATCCTGACTGTTACATCACCTCAGGTGAGGCTGCTGTCCCCCAGGAGATTCTTGTCCGGTTGACTGTTATCTGCGCTGTGCATTCTCAGAAAGGACAATCTTCATTGTGAGGAGACAGGCACCGCAGCATTTCGGCATAATGGGGACCCCCTGTGCTTCCAAGGGTTACAGGTACTCATCCGTGTGTGGGTGATAGCCCCTTATCAGGCTTGATATTCAGTGCTTGGCAGGCTTGTGGATAATGGTGTGAGTCCGCCTGGCAAGTCTGTGTTGCGGCACGGTTTATCAGCTCCTGCCTAGCGCCCGACCCCGCCAGGGTGACGTCTGTCATGGGTAGGTTAGATGACTCTCACGGGTCCTCTCGCTTTATCGTTGGACACGCGGTGAGGTTCTCTGCCAGGGCGGGAGGCGGGACAAGAGCTCGCATAGGCTCTGTGGTGCAGGAGCAGCTTGTGTAGTGCCATGAGTCGCCGCCATTTTACCTCGTAGGCCTTGGTTGGTCGGTGCGCCTTAGGCTCCTCTTAGTTTGAAATAATACAAACAGGTATGTCTACAGAAGTGATAAAATTGCTCTCAACACCAGTGAGGTATCCCCTACACCTTCACATAAAATGACATATAATACACAAAAAATAGGTGGAGCAAGTGATAATAATAGTAAAATGTACTTCCCTCTCTTCTACCTTTCTTGCTGTAAAAGATAGAGAGGTACAAGATAGTGCAGATATTTCTTATACACAGAATATATAAAAAAAAACAAATCTTATGCACTCACAATGGAAGAGCCATAGATTAAAACCTGGCTCTGGTGTGAATCTCCTCTGGGATCTTAATAGGGTGATCCCCAAACCTCTTTGATGGTGCTTGTTGAAGTGTAACTTCTTTTTCTTTTTCTTTCAATACCAGGCAATGGAGATAAAATATATTCCAGAGAAAAAATATTTATTTGAAAAAAATTAATAAAATCAATATAAATAATATAAATATAAAGGGTAAGACCTCCCAGTGTCCAGTAGGCTTGCCAAAACGCGTTTCGCCGGTATGTGGCTTCCTCAGTTGGCGTAAGGTGGTAATGTTCTCTAAGTTCTTTAAATATTTAAAAATCGCGGGTAATTTTCTTCCGGTGGAACGCATCCATGCGTTCCATCGCCTCCTTCCGGTTTCCGGAATGTCTACGTCACTTCCGGTTTCGCAGAAAATACAAAGCGTTTGATGGAACGCATCGACTTCTTCCTAATTCCGGAGGAATTACATCATCTCCGGTTTGGTCGGGCTGTATGTAAAGAGGCATCCTCTTGATTCAAACGTCCTTGGAACGCATATGCGTTCCAATGTTATGCATAATACATGTGTCAGTTCCCAAGATTGTTAGCAGTGTTATTTAAAGTGCTGCAAGTAATATCATTAAAGTGCTTAAGCAAAAAACATGTATTTCACAATAGTATAAAATAAATGGGGTTTAAGCATATGTGGAACAATCAATAAGCAAGCAAAAAGGGAAGAATAAGATCACATCAAGTTACAATAAAATATACGTTCCGGTATTATACACAATAAATGTGTCAGTCCCAAAGTTATTAGCAGTATCATTTAAAGTGCTACAAATAGGGTCATAAAGTGCTTTGGCAGTAAATTTGTATATCACAAAATAATTAAGTAGAAACATATGTGAAACAATCAAAAAGCAGACACGAGAAAAGAATCACATCGAAATAAAGATGAAATAAGATAAAATCACATCAAGAATAGATTTGCCCCAATAGTATTGATCTAAAATAAGATGTAAATATGATAAAATGGTCTCTAAAAGTATGGATAAAAAAAAAAATAAAAACCTGAAACCTAATATTACATTAATAATTATACTAAAAAATGGCACAGCTCGAAATCCTGGTTTAGACCATGGGGAATTAAAGTTTTAAAATTATAAATACACTTCATTTCTTCTTCTCCTATCTTTCTATTAAAATCACCTCCTCTCCAATCCTTTTGTACAAGTTTAACTGCACAAAAAAATATGTTTTTAGGATCACTGTTATGGTGTGTTTTAAAGTGATTAGAAACACTATGTGTTTCTACTCCTTTCTTTATATTTCTTACATGTTCTGAAATTCTGATGTTTAAACATCTCGTGGTTCGTCCTACATAAATAAGATCACAGGGGCACTTTAAAATATAAATTACATTTTTTGAAAAGCAGGTTAATTGGTCCCTAATATAAAATGTTTTATCATTCTGATAGTTAAAAGATAAAATATGTCTTTTTTTCTGGCATGTAGTTCTGCAAGCTAAACAAGAGCCGCAACCATAAAAACCTTTGCTTTTATTTAAAAAATGATCTTTCTGTTTAGTTTTAAAACTACTGTTCACTAAAATTTGTTTCATATTTTTATTATCATTTTTTAAATAAAAGCAAAGGTTTTTATGGTTGCGGCTCTTGTTTAGCTTGCAGAACTACATGCCAGAAAAAAAGACATATTTTATCTTTTAACTATCAGAATGATAAAACATTTTATATTAGGGACCAATTAACCTGCTTTTCAAAAAATGTAATTTATATTTTAAAGTGCCCCTGTGATCTTATTTATGTAGGACGAACCACGAGATGTTTAAACATCAGAATTTCAGAACATGTAAGAAATATAAAGAAAGGAGTAGAAACACATAGTGTTTCTAATCACTTTAAAACACACCATAACAGTGATCCTAAAAACATATTTTTTTGTGCAGTTAAACTTGTACAAAAGGATTGGAGAGGAGGTGATTTTAATAGAAAGATAGGAGAAGAAGAAATGAAGTGTATTTATAATTTTAAAACTTTAATTCCCCATGGTCTAAACCAGGATTTCGAGCTGTGCCATTTTTTAGTATAATTATTAATGTAATATTAGGTTTCAGGTTTTTATTTTTTTTTTTATCCATACTTTTAGAGACCATTTTATCATATTTACATCTTATTTTAGATCAATACTATTGGGGCAAATCTATTCTTGATGTGATTTTATCTTATTTCATCTTTATTTCGATGTGATTCTTTTCTCGTGTCTGCTTTTTGATTGTTTCACATATGTTTCTACTTAATTATTTTGTGATATACAAATTTACTGCCAAAGCACTTTATGACCCTATTTGTAGCACTTTAAATGATACTGCTAATAACTTTGGGACTGACACATTTATTGTGTATAATACCGGAACGTATATTTTATTGTAACTTGATGTGATCTTATTCTTCCCTTTTTGCTTGCTTATTGATTGTTCCACATATGCTTAAACCCCATTTATTTTATACTATTGTGAAATACATGTTTTTTGCTTAAGCACTTTAATGATATTACTTGCAGCACTTTAAATAACACTGCTAACAATCTTGGGAACTGACACATGTATTATGCATAACATTGGAACGCATATGCGTTCCAAGGACGTTTGAATCAAGAGGATGCCTCTTTACATACAGCCCGACCAAACCGGAGATGATGTAATT